GTAGTAAAAATTTCAAAAGGCTAAGAGCAATTAGGCCTTTCCCTGCAGAGATTTTACTGAAACATTGCTTATAAATAAGTCTACTTGTAACTAGAAGGTCCTTTCTTGTTTTATGATTTGTAATACCTTCTTAAGATCTACACTATACACAAAGTCTGAAATCGAAAACGATTTTCTGCTTGAATAGGTTCTCTCGTTACATGAATTTTGTCCTTTCAATTCAATAGAGAAAAATTATCATCCATGTTCTCTCATTCATTTCTTTTCTTACCAACAAGAATTTCATCAATATTCGGACGAAAGACAACATAACGAAATTTAACTTTAATATGAAAATTAGCATCTGATGGCAATAGAATACAATCACCCATAGATAAAATATCATACAAACATATACATAAACCTAATTCTTGAAAAATTGTATTGGCTAATTTACGATCAAGTTCTTCAGCTACAATAGTACTCAATTGTTCATTGAATAAATGTGGTGCAATAGAAACTGTATCGTCCAATGTTGCTACAATAAACATTCTTTTCTAAAAGATGATTTTCGAGAATAAAATTTGATTTTTTAAATAAATGTTTTCTTATCACACATTCAATTCTTGTTTTATTTTTTTTTTTGTTTAAAAAAAAAAAAGAAAAAAAAGTAATCTATAACAATAATCTATTGGGTGTCTTTTTCAGTAGTTGGCTTTTTAGCACGCCGTACTGGTGGTAAATCAGTAGAAATAGAAGATGATTCAATCACCGGACTAGACGAAGAAGTTGATGTTGGTTGTGAAAGAAAACCTTGTCGATCTTTTGATTGAAGATTATTATAAATAGCTAATGCTGATGCTACCATTGATGACATATCACCAGCATTACTTGGTAATATAATTGTATTATTCGTTCGAGCAAGATTACCAAATGCATGAACATATTGTTCAGCAATTTGTAATGAAGCAGCATTACGTCCTTCCTAAAGAAAAATAAAAGGAACGAAAACTCAATGAAATTTATTTTGAAAAGGAAATTTTTACTTCAGATTGAAGTTGATCAGAAACTATTCGAAGTGCTTGTGCACGTGCACTAGCTGTTACACGCATAGCTTCAGCTTCACCAGTTGCATTGTTAATTTGTTCAAGTTTAAAACCTTCACTAGATAAGATAGTTGATTGTTTTGTACCTTCAGCTTTATTAATTTGAGCTTCACGAACACCTTCACTTTCTAAAATTGTAGCTCGTTTACGTCTCTAAATAACAATGAATATATTTGAAAAGTTGTTTTTTTATTTATTTATTTACTTCAGCTTCAACTTGCATTTGCATAGCTTCTTGAACTTTTGCTGGAAGACGAATATCACGAATTTCGTATCTATTAAATGCAAAAATGGTAAAATAAAATTGTTAATTTAAATATTAAAGTAACCTGAGACAAATAATACCCCATGCTTTAGCTGCTTTATTAATAGCCTCTTTATAAAAAAAATAAATAATCGAATTAATTATGTAAGAATAAATAATAACGAAGTTATTTACCAACAATACCAGCATTAAGCGATTCTCTCTCACGAAATAATGTGTCTAATGCAATTTTACCAATTTCAGAACGCATTGTTGTTTGTGCAAGTTGTGTTACGGCAAATTCAGCATCTTGAACACCATAACTAGCCTAATAGAAGTTCTAATCAATATTTCTATCAAAATATTTTTTTTCTTCCTATCTATTACTTACCAAATAAGGATCAAACACTTTGAGATATAATACACCATCAATATTTAATGTCACATTGTCTAGAAGAAAAAAAAAAAAGTTACAAATAATTTGAAGAGAATTAATTGAAATTCTTTAATAAAGAAATGTTTCTTATCGTAAGATAAACTTGAGATTTGGCTTTAAAAAAAAAATCTCACTAGCAGGGAACTGATTCAAATGATAAAACCTTTCACAGGTTCGTATTCTATGCACAAGGTACACTTCAGTGAGATATGGCATGGTATGTTCCCTACAAATTGAATGGTGATATTTGATACTGAGATTTAGCCCATAGATAAGTTTATCTGTGGCTAGAATATCCTGAAAACTTCGACTCAAAAGACTTTCACATATCTCAATATGAAGGATTTTTATAATATCATAATTGAATAAAAAATGATCAGATATAGAAAATATCTAAAAACCCACTATTTTTTCAACCTGATGAATTTCTACTAAAAAACGAGAGAGTTCTATTGAATTGAACTACGATTCTAGAAGTGATTCAATATTTTATGTGTATCTTTTTATTAAAGAAATTTTCTTTATACCTTTTGAAATAGCTGTTTGACTTGGAACTTCTATTGCAATTTCTTTTAAACTTTGCACATAACGTATAGAATCAACAATTGGTAATAAAATATTCAATCCCTAAAATATTCTATTCTATTTGAAATAAATACTTCATTTAAACTTACAGGATTTAATGTTTTATAAAATTTTCCCATACGTTCAACCACCCATGCTTCTTGTTGTGGTACAAATAGAATAATTGTATTAAATGGTAAACGAGAATGAAGATGATATTGCTGTTCAATTGTTGCAGTTGTTATAACACGTTGCAAAAGTCGTCGCTAATTATAAGACATAAACAAACATGAAAACTAATTTCAAATACTTACAGATACAATCGGACCTAATGTTCGATTTAATACAAACGCCATATTATCAGAAAAAAAAAACCTCGTTCTACAAAAGAAAGAAAGTGTATCGTCTTTATAAAAAAAAAAAAATAAGATGATGCAAGAGTATCATGACTCATATTTTCTATTTCTAATAATACATATTTTTTATTTGAATCAATCTGACAGCATTAAAGAAAAAAAATATATATATATATAAAAGTGACTATCTGACAAAGATGATTTATGGTGAAAAAAGTTGTCGTTTTGTTTCATCTAAAATAATACGAAAAAAAAAAAAGAATTTTAAATTATATAAAAACAAAAAAGAACATTTTCTTACTATTTAAATGACTATAATCACTTGGAAGATTTTCATCATTTGTATTTATATCATTCATATGAAATGGATCTCGACTATGACGATGTCGTGGTGCAGCTAAACGTGGAATGTTTTCAGGTTTACATGGTGAAGGACTACTTGTAAAATAAGAAGATGCCAAAGCCTAAAGAAAAGAATTTTTTTTTTTTATGATTTTTCTTTTTATTTTATTTTACTTGTTTAGCTGTAGCTCGATATTTTGGATTCATAACAAGTAAACTTTTCAATAGATTTAATTCTTGTTCATTAGATTTTGGAAATTTTTTTTCAAATGTTTCTTCATTATTTAATAAACTTTCATCATGAAATTGTAAAAAATGTTTAAATGTTTTTGCTTCTGGCCATGTTTTATCATTTGGTGGACCAAGTAAACGATAAATCATTAAGATTTGTTCTATTTCACTTTTACTTGGAAATACAATATGTCGATTTATTAATTCACCAATAACAACACCTAATGACCACATATCTGTCGATGTATCATATTGTCGATCACCGAGTAAAAATTCTGGTGAACGATACCAAGCTGGTGGTAAACGATGAAGTTTTCGACATGTATCATCAACATATATTGATATACCAAAATCAGCAATTTTTATTATACCATGAGAATCAATCATAATATTTCCTGGTTTGATATCCTTCAATTTTGAAAATGAATAACAGACAAAAAACAAAACTCAGAATGAATACCATACTTGATGCATGATACCTGATAAATGAATATATTCAAGACCTGAAAGCATCATATGAACCATGCATTTTATATGACTATGAGAATAACGATTGTCTGTACAATGAATTAAACGCTGAACAAAAAAAGAAATTAGTTTTGAAAAGAATTTTAGAAACTAAACGACTTACACCAAGATCAGCAAACATTAATTCAAAGACTAGAACAGCTACTTTCGAATCAGGTGTATAGAATGAATCGAGCAACTAGAATAAAGTTATTAGTTAGCATATATATATATTTTTTTTTTTGCTACATTTGCTAAACTAAATTGTACCTTAATAACATTAGGATGATCTAATTTTCGTAACATTTGCATTTCATTTTCAGCTGCTGGTTCAGCCCAATCAGTATATTCACCATGACGGCCAACTTTAATCTATGAAAATTTATATGAAAATACTATTTTACAAGTGAAAATAAATACTTTTTTAATAGCCACTTCCTCATTTGTTGGAAGATGTCGAGCTTTATAAATTCCAACAAGCTAAGAAAAATAATTAAATTCATATGAAAAACAAAGTCATTTTTTTTTTTTGCTATAGATTGCATCATACTGAGTCTTCTACAATCACTTCATCGATCACATAATTTTCGGACTTAGCAGTCGCCATTGAATTGAGCAAATCAGAAAAAATAAACAAAATATTCTCTAAGTTGTTTCTTTGATAATGTTGTTTATTTATGTTAATAGTGAGAAAAGAAAGAGTAAAAACCATTAGAAATAAATAAACAAATAAGAAAAAAAAAATTCAATTTATTAAATTTTACAGCGCCATCTTTCTGTCAGTATTTGTTTTCTATCTCTCTCTCTCTCTCTCTCCCCATTTCTCTTCTCACCAATTGGATCACAAGCAACTAAGTCAGTCAAATAGAGCAAGAGAGTTGATTGATTGATAGGTAGATAGTGAACGACCATCGGTCAAATTGTTTTTTTTTCTTGTTGTTGTTTCTTTTTTTTTTTACAAGAATTTCAATTATTGCATTTTAGTTTAGTTATTATTTAATTAGCAATGCAGATATGAATACGAATAATATAAATACTCCATTATCAAATAGAGTATGGCTTTTTTTTTTCAAAAAAAAAAAAAAAAAAATAATAATAATTTTTTTCTTTTAATTCAAATATTATTCTAGTCGGATGGTGCGGATCCAGGATCGATTATTCCTTCTATTTATCCTTCTGCTTCAGCAACGACACCAAATAATTATTTATCAAATCGTACATTTATACCACAAACTCCAGCATCTATTAATTCAGAAATGGATACATCAACAATAGCAACAACATCAAATGTAACATCTATACAACAAAATGATCAACGAAGAAATATTATTCAACAACTTGCACTTTTACTTCATGCACATAAATGTCTTCAACGTGAACGACAATCACAATCTTGCAATGGAGATAGTCATGGAATAGCACCCACAACAACATCTTTAAATCCTTGTACATTACCACATTGTGCTACAATGAGGACTGTACTTCAGCATATGACAAAATGTGCTGATTTTAAAAATTGTTCTTGTAAGTTATTGAATAGTTCACTTGCCATTCGATGAACTTATTGATTTTGTGAAGAATATTTAAGATTTTGAGAAGTAGATCAATACATATCTATATATACGCTCTGATCGATTGTGAAACTCAAATAGACGAATGTAATGCTATAGATTTTCCATAGAAATCGGTGTTTTGTTGATAAAGATAACGAGTAATCGAAAAGTAATTAGATAAAATGTTCATTCACTTTTTTTAGCCTTTTAAGGAGTCTTCAGATTGAATTTTTTGGATATGATTTTAAAAAAAAATTTTGTATGACTTCTGATTTAGGAGTTAGAAGCTTTTTTTTTTTTTGAGGTACAAAAAATTAATTCAATGAAAGAACAAACATGTCTCAAACTAAAATGGTACTTTATTGATTAGTTAGCTCTAACGATGGAACATATCCTACTGCCAGGTACCATTCGACTTTACATTAGGACTATGAGTAGGTTACGATGAGGCTAAGAAAAACTGAAAACGGTTCGTGTTTATGGCCCACCAGTGAAGAGTTACCGTCGTTTTAGTGAAATTGTTACTGACATCAAAGGCATTTTCCACAGAATCCAAAACAAGGAGTTTCAACAGAGGTTTATTATAGAAGGACACAGTCAGTTCAAAATTATTGTCCTGGACTTTGTCAAAAATGTCTTATTCCTGTGTAAAAATTCTACTAAAACTGTTATAACTCTTCAATAGTATTTTATGAGCCGAAGTCGTTTGAAGCTTTTTTTGTTAGTCTTATCAAGATCTATTAATAGTCTGAAATACAGAGCCGAATGGCGTCCGACAATCAGATATGTTTCCTCGTAAGTTATTTGCTAACAGCGAGTGTTTTGGTATATTGGACTCCGTGTCAATTTATGCAATTTTCTAGATTTCTATGAAAAATAGACTTGCAAAGTGAACTTGAGTGTTCCTGAATAGTTGTTCTGAAACTCTAAGTTTTTATATCACTTTCTAGAGAACAATTTTGCATTTTAATTTTTGTTGCAATAAATGTCAATCTTCTTCGTCCAAAATTAATTTTCGCGCTCTTGAAAAATCAACTCAGAATTTCTACAAAAGTTTTGAAGCTTTATTCGGAAAGAACACAAAATTCTGATTCTAACTCAATCTGCATGCACTTTAAAAGGGCTAAAAAATAAATCAACATGTTGTCCAATTACTTTTCAATCACTCGTTAGAATAGTTCAAGAGTATCTACACTGAAATAAACTATTGATAATTGAATCAGATTTTTGAC